CAAGACAAAGAGGCATCATTTTATATTGATATGGGGTACAATTCTCTAAATTAGCAAAACTTCCATGAGTTTTTGTGTCAAATGAAGTGCATCAAAGGTATCAGGATCCAAAGCAAGCACTCCTGGCAAAACCAAAAAGGAAGCAACAGGCATGAAATAGTACAGAGATACATTCACACAACACTAACAGGTCAAATAGACCAAAAACTCCCAAGAATATAGAGGATTGATTTAGTGGATATGTATAGAAAACACTATTTTTGAAACAGAGGATGTACCTTCTTTTCTATTACTTATGGAATATTTATGAAAGTTGATCATATGTTTTATCAAAGAGAGAAAATCTCAGTAAGTCTTAAAGCAAAAAATGTGTGGGGCATATCTTTGACTACAGTGTGGTATAATTAGAAGTTAATAGCAAATGGTTACCAAAAATTACAACAATAAGGCAATTAAAAAACACTTTCTAAAAGAAAATTTTAAATGAACAACGATGTTAGATGCTAATGACAAAGATACTGCACATGGTAACACAGATCATCATGGAAACACATGGAAGCAAAGATACTGCACATGGAAGCCAAAGGCATCAGAAGAAAAGTCATAGTTGGAAATGCTTTTCTTACTAAACAAGAAAGATTGAAACTGAGTAAAATAAACATTGAATCTAAGAATGGGAGGTGGAAAGAGAACAAAATAAACATAAGCAAATGAGAAGGAGCAAATTTAATAGAGATGCAGTAGAAATTAATGCATTAGAAAAATCATAAAAATGATGAATCACAGAGGTAGTCCTTTTCAAAAGACCTATAAAATGCACAAGCTTCTGCAAAGTTAACCAAGAAGAGAAAGGTCATGAACACAGAACGTGAAGAACAAGGTGATAAAACAGATATGGAGACTTTATTTAAATCATTGAGTAACTATCTGTAACATTTGATTAATAATTCAGAAAATGTCGAAGCAGTAAAAATGACTTATGAGATAGAACTCTTGAAGGAACAAAACCTATCTAGAAGGATTTATTGGCACATTCTATTAACGATCAAGAACCAGCTGAGTGGGGTGATGAATACATTGGTGGGTGCACCCACTATGGGTGGATAGAAGAAGGCATGGCTCCATGGGTGGATGGATGAGTGAACGGAGAGATATATGGGGCCTGGATATGCAGAACTGGAGATTGGAGCCCTGGCTGGTGTAGCTCAGTGGATTGAGCATGGGCTGCGAACCAAAGTGTCGCAGGTTCAATTCCCAGTCAGGGTACATGCCTGGGTTGCAGGCCATGACCCCTAGCAACTGCACATTGATGTTCCTCTCTCTCTTTCTCCCTCCCTTCCCTCTCTAAGAAATAAATAAATAAAATCTTTAAAAAAAACTAGTTAAAAAAAAAGAACTGGAGATTGGGAAGGAGCTGAGAATGAGGAAGGAAGGGAGTTTTAAGACTGGATGACCTCCAGCCAAATGACCTTGGCCCACAACCTTCTGGACTGACAGAAATCTTCTCTGAAAACCTCAGGTCTGGTCTTTCCTAAAGCTGACAGTGCCCGCACTCAGGAGTAGGGGCCAGTGCACACAGGCTGACCCAGACAGATCGATTAAGCCAGTAAAACCAGATCCCGACAAAGCCCAAGCTCTCTGAGTGACCTGCCCTTCCCTTCCCAGCCCACCCTTCCCTCTTCAACCCACTCCTCCCTCCCCCCCCCCCAGGAGCCCGCAGGTGCAGTCTCTCCAGGGGTCGGTGAGAGCCATGAATAGTAAGGGTTTTAGCTCAAGCACACAGAGGCATTTAGCTGCCCAAACCTAATCCCCCAATAATCGGATTATGCAAATTCCTACTTCAACCCCTTTCCCTGCAGGACCTAGCCCCTAAACTCTCCACACTGGGAGACAGAGACCAGAGAGGACCCATGGCTCCCAACAATCACTACTAGTGGAATGGTGCATCCAAATGTTTCCCCATTTCAGCACTTTTAAAACCCACACTCTTGTGTAAGAGAGTTTTGAGAAGAAAACAAATGTCAACTCTGGTTCCCGTGTGCCAACATTGTTGTGCACCTTCCTCTGTGGTTCTCACCCTGTCTCTCAGTCCTGGGCCAATTGTACACAGATGCCATTTTATACTTATTATTTCATTTAGCGTGCGATCTTGCCACCCAGTTGCCACAATTCTTTTTTACAGCTGTAGACTATGCCATTAAGAGAATGTATTACTTCATAGGTTTTTGACTAAGAAGGAAGCTAGGTTCTTGGTTTAATCCCAACTGGTGCTCTGTCAGAATTGGGGTGCAGCAGGGCAGGGTGGAAAGGCATGGGCGCCGTGAGGCTGCACTGCCTCTCCACAGCACTCGGAGAAGACAGAAGGGTGTCAGGAGGGGTGAAGTGGCCGTGTTTACTGCACATATTAGGTTATAAAGGCCCCTTGTGTGCCCATGTACAAACTGCCCGATTCTCTCCGACCTACCCGCCAATCCATTCTTAGCTCTGCCACCAGAATGAGTGTTGAAACTCATAAATCTAATTACTCCCGTATCCGAGGCACACAGTTGCCCTCCCATGGACGGCCCTCTCCCCCACTCCTACATGTGTGATTCCCATTTAGCCTTCCCCTCCCAGCCTTGGGGTCCATGCCTCACAGGGCCCCGAGCTGGCCCTCCTCCAGCACCTGCCTGCTGCCATGTCCCACGTTCTGGACCACACTCTGGGTATCTGGGACCCTGGAATTTAGACCAAACTCCGGGGATTCAGGACCTCTGAATTTCGGCTCAAGTAGCCCTGATTCCATGTCCAGGGCCTGCACAGTGCTCTTCCTTAGGTCCCTGTGGGCTGGGGGTCCACGTCATATACACAAGGCCCTTACAGAGCAGGACAGAACTGGAGGGCAGGGGAAAATGGGGGTGGGGATGGGTCAGGATTCTGCATTTGCACCCTTGTCCCGAGTCCCGAAAATGTCAGACAGAGGCAGCCCTGCTTCAAGGCTTAATATAAATGTCGTCCCTCCCACAAACATTCTCTGACCCTCCAGCCATCAGCTTTGCCTCTGCAATCCCAATGTCGTGCTCCCTGGCACTCAGGACCGTCTGCCTTGTATTCAGTCAGTTTTGTCATGTCCTCTCCTTCCCAAAGGCTGTGAACTCCTTGAAAGCAGATACAGTTTTCTTCACCTTCCTGCAGTTCTTGTAACAGCCTTTGTATTGGTCACAAGAACTATATTCACCCTTCTTCTGAGAAAAGGGACAAACAGCCCCAAAGTCTTGGCTGTGTACAACAACTCAGATTTATTCTTCACTCATATTACGTGAGGGTCGTGGTTGGTTATGGGTGTGCTCCATGGGTTCCAGACCAAAGGAGCAGCCCCAAACAGGGCGTTCTCATGCCTGAGCCCAGGCAGCAATCGCTGGTACATATAAGTCAAGTCTGCTCACACTTCATTGTTCCCATTTTAGAGATGAGGAAACTGAGGTAGGGGGCAGTTACATAATTCTCCTGGGAGCACAGTGGGTAGACCAGGGATTTCAATATGTGTGTGCAACTCCAGAGCCCTTTGTTCCTATCTACTAAGTTATGATATATTTGTGAGTTTATTGTGTCAAATCCTATGCTGGGTCATTTAGAGAGGGTGATGCCCAGAAATTCATTACTAAATTCATTCATTAATCAACCAGCCCAGTTCACTGGGGCTGGGGAGGAGACAGCAAGATAAATAAGTATTATAAAATATCACTAAGTGATGATGAGAGATAAGGAGAAGAATAAAGCAGGGCAGGGGGGTGGAGAGTATTTGTGGGTGTGAAGGTGCAATTTCAGGTGTTGTGGTCAGAGAAAGAACCTTCACTGAGGAGGTGACATTGGAGCAAAGACCTGAAGAATGGCAGCTCCTTGAGGGCAGGGATTTGTGCCTGTTTTGTTTGACGTTGTGTGCCCACTGCCTAGGTCAGGCACTGGCCTCTAGCAGGCACTCAGTAAGAATCTGTGGAATGAGTGAAATGAAGGGATGGGGAACACTGTGTAGATAACTTGGGGGAAGAGTGTTGCAGGCAGGGGAATCAGTGCAAAGGCCCTGAGGCAGGACAGTGTCTGATGTGTTTCTAAAACAACAGAGCAGACCCAGGGAGAGCTGCATAGACCCAGGGAGAGAAGGAACTGACAGTTCAGGTAAAGGGCATCTCCAGAGCCACCTAAACACTTGAGTTTAACTCTGAATGAACTGTGGAAACACCCAAAGATTTTGGGCAGAAAGTGATGGAATCTGACTTGAGTTTTTATAGGATCACTCCGAGTGATGTTGGAGAACAGACAAAAGAAGCGAGTGCAGAAGCAGAAAGGCCCCTGAAGTAATCACATCCCGGCTGGGCCCTGGAAACTGACGAACACATCCTGGAATGTGTCCAGTGCAGTGATGCAAGTCATCGTGCGTCTTCATGTCTTTTGGTACTTAGTAAAAACGCCAATTTCAGATCCTTCCCCCCACCCCGCTCTCCCGAAAACCTCGACTGTTGGGTCTGGATTGTGGGTGTCCAGATCTGCCCTCCCCTCACCCCTGCTTCTGAAGCAAGTGGTTCTCGGAGTACAGTTGGAGACTTGCAGGGACCTGGTAACTGACATCTGATGAATTAAGGATCAGGCACTTTCAGAGGTTTGCACACATTGGAGAGGGTTGGTAAGCTGCACGCAGGGCCTCGAGCTGCAGCCCAGGTGGGTGGCAGGACCCTTCCTGCCCTCAAGCCTTACACAAAGCGGGGTTCTCCTTCCACCTCTGCCCCCTTGCTAGGGCACAGAGAGGGCTGGTCCCGGGAAGCCAGGGAAGGGGAGCTGTGGGGGGGGGGGCACAGGGAGTGGGCTGGGGCTGGCTGGAGTCCGGGGAGGGAAGGGGCCCCGCGGCTTCGGCTTCGCTAACAAAGAGAGGTGTCCTATAAAGGCGGCTGCGGGCATCCAGGCGAGGGCGTACAAACTGGTGACGATAACAACTGCGCGCGCGCGGCTCCGGGCTTTGGCGAGGAGGTGCGTTGACTCCGGGGGAAAGTGAGCCAAGCCGGGGTCAGGCTCCTGGGCCAGAGGGTCTTCCGTGCAGCCCCGGAGCCCGAGCAGCGTTCGCCCGGGAAGGCAGGAGTCAACTCGGTGAGAATACCTGGGGGCTTCTGGCTGGGCAGGGGCGGTGGCGCAGCTCCGCGGAGCCTGACAGGTTCCCTGGCGCGTGTTGGCGGGGCCGCCTCAATTTCATACGTGGTGCCAGGGACACTCCGCCAGGGCACTTTTGAGGGCCCTTTGGGAGCTCCTGCATGGGGGTGAGCGACTCCCGGACACCTGGCAGGTGTGAAACTTTAGAACGGGCTGCTTTCCTGGCCGTCTGAACTACTTATTCACAAGGCACGGCACTGCAGGCTGGGGGAGCAAAGCTTGGAAAAGAAATAGGGAAAAGTCGGGAACCGAGGAGGGCAAGGACAGCGGACTGGGCGGGGATGGCGGCGAGGGGCCGGTGCTGAGCGCAGTTTGGAACGGGTGGCACTCCCGGTGCCCACCCAAAGCTGGTATTCACAGTAAATAAACTTATTTAGCACACTGACATGCAGAGTTATCTAATGAGAACGGTCACCTGCATAATCACATGTACCTTGATTTTTATATTACTTATAAAGGATATATATAATATATATATATGTGCATACCAAACTGGCTACTAATGGGGAATGAGATCGGTAAGGAGCCTTTCATTTCTCAGTTTATGAACTCGTGTACTGCTTGATTGTTTTTAATTACGTGAACATGTTTTACTTCGACAACATTCCCAAAGGCAAAGCCGTGCCTGGTGTTGAAGGTTAGGCATCTCCCACTAAGGCAACAATAGACACCGCTCTCCCGGTTCCGCTTTCTGGAGAGTGTTTTTACTTACTTTCTTCAAGATGCCAGAAGAGACAAATACACTCGACCGCATGCTAGGAAGGGGAGTGTGAGGTCTGACAAAAGGGAGCCATGTGAGTCTGAATGCCTGGACAGGCCACCCGAGGTGTGTCCTCCTGTGTCCACGTTGCATGACCTGGGCTGTGTGTCCAGGAGTCTCCAGCATGAAAAAGCAGCAGCTCCTACTGGGGACATTAGTCACCTTCTCTGGGGGCATCATTGTCATTCTTTTCCTTAGTAACCTGTTCCTTTCCATGGCGACAGTAAAAACAGAGGTTTGTTTACTGCGACATTCCTCCTGCCCAGGCATTCCAATCGGGTGGTAACACCCACCTGCCCAGGGGCATGTAGATGGAATTCTGGGGTTCTGCACATGTAGTTGGGAAAAAGTTACCTCTTTATTTCCACTAACGTTTAATCTAAACTTAGCCTTTCCTTTATTTATGGACATGGGTGATAAACTACAGTGGTATGAACAGTCCTGGTGACTTTGTCACCAATAAAAATCATAGATACTTTCATGTTACAGACATTGTAAATATTTTGAAAAAAAATAATTTACATATCACTATGTAGAGATTATGGTAATAAACCTAATGTTAAAAAACAAAGCACATGTATCAGAGTACCTAATTTTAAAATTATTTTTAATAACTATGAAGTATACTTGGTTACCTTATGTGTCTATGTATTTTAATTAATGCACTTAAAATCATCATTTTGAGAAGAGAACCAGGGGCTTTCGACTTTATGTATTTAAAGCCTCCGTTCTGAGATGGAATCCCTCCCCAGGTGTCCTCAGACTGCCCAGAGGGTCCCTGGCACCGAGAAGGAGTGGACCCTGGGTGAGCAGGAGTCAGTGGTGACACAGACACATGAACACCCAGGCTTGGGACACAGGCTCTGCCACTGGTTCCCTGTGTGACCTGCGACAAAGCGCTCCACCCCTGTTTTGACCCTTAGATCTGTTTCCTGATTCTGTGGCATCTGGTGTATTTTTTTTAAAGCTCTTAAATTACTCTGAAGTCAAGATTAGCATCAGTCAGTCCTCATAACTGGAAAAAGACTAAATACAATTTTCAAAAGCTATTATTAAGTGTATTGGGGTGATGTTAGTTATTAAACCGTATAGGTTGCAAGCACAATTCTGCGATACCTCATCTATATATTGCATTGTGTGTTTATCACCCAATTCAGTACTTTCCCAGGGACCTCCACCTTGAGTTTTTCCAGCTTGTTAAATCATTGATTTCTATTTCCCCCTATGGAGAAGGAGAGTAACACACTCGAGGATAGATCAACAAGTAATTGCTCAGCACCTCCTAGGATGGCAGGCTCATTTCAGAGGCTTGTCTTCACGTTTTCTCTGTCTGCTGCTAGCACAATAGAACCCTGCCCTCTTAGAAGAGAACACCAGTCAGTTTACCCTGCCTAATCGTTGTCTTCCCAGGTTGAAAAGACCCCCCACAGGCCTAGTGTTGACTTAGTGAATGAGCTAAACCCTCCTTTGACAAAAAAAAAAAAAAAAAGCTTGAAAGTGACTTTGCTCTCCGAATCCTGCTGCAAAGCAGCCAGCCTGGCTGGGAGGAAACTTGACCGTTTTCTTTCTATCTTAAAATCTTCCTGATTTAGGTTCAAACTTTCCGTTGGAGGTACAGTTGAGTGAAGTTCTGACAACACTCATATTTCCATTGTAGAACTGACCACCAGGTTATTTAGAAGTGGCTTAGTTTAGATAATTGGCCATGGCATTTCAGAGCACAAAGAGTCCTTGGGGATCAGTTGATCCACCCCATTAGTTGGGAAGGCCCCCAGAATGCCTGAGTTAGGTGCTGTTTCTCTGCTGCAAGGCCCCTGTGCTTCCCTCTCTGTGTCACCCAGGAAGTGGGTGGGCCCCTCAGCATCTGCAGCTAGCACAGTGCTTGGCACGCAGTATCAATAAGTGTTGATGCCAAAGCCTGCAGGGTGCGTGATTGTAACTGGACCATGGGTCCAACTGGGAGTGTCTCTGCAGAGATAGGAAATGGACCTGTGTGGCTGGTGGAGGGAGGCTGCCGAGGTTCCGCCCACCTGGTTCCCAGGGCAGCAGTGGACTCCGCAACCCAGCGCAGCAAGGTGATGAGAACCTGGCTGTGGCCATGTCTCGGGGGCATATAGGTGATTGAAAACTGCCATTTTCTGGAGTAATGACACTTCTCATGTATATAGGGAAGATAATCCTTGTATTTATTGAGCACCCATGTGCCAGCCACATAGTGTCTCACTGATATATTTATATACTTTATAGAGTATCGCAGTCCTCAGGACAACCTGGGGATGGCTTCGTTTCCATTTTCCCAAAAAGAAAACTGAGGCTTAAAGAAGTTAACTGATTTTCCCAGAGTCATATAACTAGGAAATTAGGAACTGAGATTCAATGCCAAGTCTTTCTACATAAAGCCCATAAACTTTCTTAATTTTTTTCTATTATGAAGCAAATAATACATGGATACTATCTCATTATAAAAATGTAAAATAGCACTGAAGTTTTCTTTCTTCCCCCAAACCACTGTCCTCCCCTAACAAAGCCCTTTTGACCATTTGGCCTGAATCCTTCCAGATATTTTGCTCTGCATCCACACAGACATGTACATGTACACACACATTCACACGCATGCACACACATATCCATACACTCCTACAGAGTGAAGCACACAAATACATGAATAATGCTACTGTACTGTAGCTTCTTAATTAGGAAAAAATAAATTACAATGAACATTTACTTTCCTCTCTTTTGTTTGTAGGGAAAAATTGTAATCATTTGACATTTATTGAGCACTTACTGTGTGCCAGACACTGCACTACTGCACAGGTACTTTACGTGTATCACTGTGTGTGTGCTCACAGGTAGTACCCTGAGTCATCCTTTGCTCATGAGGCATTTGAAGCACAGAGAGGTTAAGAGATTGTTCAAGGTCACACAGTGAGGAGGAGAAGAGGAAGCCAAACCAGGGGCTGGCTCTGGAGTCTATGCTTTTAACCATTACTTAGGTCTGTCTCCAGAGATGTATGACTCCTATAGAGTCAGGGCTTGGTGGTAAGAGAGTGGCTTGTTCCAGTTAACTGGGATCATCCTCACTGGGTTCCTATGGAAGTATACTGTATAGTGAAGTAACCTCCAGAACATCTTCCATCCCTAGGCCAATCCCAGCAATGTCCTCAGCACTCTCCCCACAAGCAGCGCTGCATGCTTGTGAATGAACATGAGTTCATACACAGAAACAGTGGCTGGCACAAAACAGGTGGTCTTTTTGCTCTTGTTCTCCTTACTGTGTAGTTCGCAGGATGCCTTCACATGCAGTACTCACTTAATCCCTACAACAGCCCTGTGAGGAGAGAATGGTACCATCTACCCACCTGAGTGCTGAGGCACGGAGGCTCAGGTGACCTGATGTGGAGGGCCTCTTGGCCGCTTAGTGTTCAGTGCTGTGACTAGCACACACCCCTTCTGGGGCCAAAGGTGGCTTTTCCCTTCGGTTTTGTACTGCTCTACCTTCCTCTAGGATGGCAGGTGTCTGGTATGTGACTGCACTCCTTCCTTATGAAACATAGTTTTGCTTGGCATTGGAGTGTTCCCACCTGGAGAGTGGAGCATTGGTTCTTAGAGTTGACCACACTGAGATCACATGGAAGTACGTGGGGCTTGGGTCTCACATTAGGAAAGAACTTGGGGTTCATTTGCAAGGATTGCAGTGAGTTGATAGCTTTCAGCTGCCGTGCCTTCAGGATGGCCCTCCGTTCTTCCTGGGCATCCCCCAGCCGGTGCTAAGCATGGCAGGGCTACCGGGATCTGGCTATTTCTTGCCCAATGGGGTCTCCTCTAACAGGCAGCCTTTGCCCCAGAGCTCCCTGTTGGTGGAATGCCCCCTTTTCAAATCCACTTTGCAGGCGGAGGCTCTCTGACCAGTCCTGCTTCCTCCGTGCTTTCCTTTCTAGGGCGTCAGATGCGCATTGCAGTCCTAAGGGCTTCTTTGCCCAGTTCTGCCTCTTCCCTTTTTATCTTTCACCGACATTTACCCCAAATAACTGCTTGTACATCCAACTCCAATTCAGCATTTGCCTCCTGGGGGACCCTGCTCATCAACTGGGGGAGTTTTAAAAACTACTGATGCCCCCAGAGTTTTTTATCTAATCAGTCTGTGGTGCAGCCTGGGTGATTCCAGTGAGCAGCCCAAGCTGGAGCAGAAGAACAATTGAGGCAGAAGCTCCATGTGTTTTGCATTAGAAAAGGATGTGCTCTCTCGCAATTTACTGGAGCCTCCACAGGTCATTTCTTTAGGTTCTTTTCAAGTAAAATGGGCCCACACTTTGCTAACACATATGCCAATTTTCAATCGTCAGTCCCTTCCTGCAGTTGTGAAAGGAAGCTGGCATTTTGAGAGGCACCTTCTGAACTCCTGACATTCTACCCGATGCTTTATATATAACTTAGGTATGTGGTGTGTTTACCCACATAAACTCATATCCTCATGAAAATAAAAGTAAGGCAGAATTTAGGAAAAGTTCAATGGCACTGACCTGATTACTTTGACCTTGATATGATCCTTTTTTACCTTTCTGTAGTCAGCAGTATGGTTCTGGAGTTGGCCCTTAGTGTGTGGGACTTGGTGCTGTGATATTTTAAAAAATATTTTATTTATTTATAGAGACTGGAAGGGAGGGAGAAAGAGAGAGAGAAACATCAGTGTGTGGTTGCCTCTCACGTGGCCACCACTGGGGACCTGGCTTGCAACCCAGGCATGTGCCCTGACTGGGAACGAACCCGTGATGCTTTGGTTTGTAGCCCGAGCTCAATCCACTGAGCTACGCCAGCCAGGGTGGGGCTGTGATTTTTAAGTGCTTATGTATGTGCTGCCTCCTTCACCAACTACCCACTAAGCTCCTGGAAGGCAAGTATGCTGTCCAACTGTGGCCACACACCCAGCTGATAGCACAGGGCCTGGCACAGAGTAGGTCTCCATCAAGGGTTAAAATAAAAGGACAAAGGCACCAAGAAGCAAGAGATTAGAGCAGACTTGGTTATAGAAGAGGAAGCTATCACCCTCAAAGAACATTCAATACTGTCCCTACAAAGTCATTTTTATTGATAAATATGTTTATTACTTTGTTGTATTTATTCATCAACACTTCTATAGCAACTACTGTGCATCAGGCACGGTTACAAGTGACTTACACATATTAATTTATTTCATTCTCCTAAGAGCCTTTGTTTCCCACCAAGGGCTGTAGGACTTCGCTGAGGAGAGGGTGAGGAGGGCTCTGGAATGGCTTGGACGGCTTCACAGAAAAGGAGGATTTGAGCTGCTCTTTAAGGAATGTGTAGAACCAGGCAAGGAGGGTGAGGACGGAATTCAAGGAGCAGGGAGTGGCCTGTGTGGATGGGCGGAGTTAGGAAGGTGCATTACTCTTTGGGGGAACGGGCAGGGGCCCACTGCTAAGGGAGCTGAGATGGAGCAGGCGGCCAGCTGACAGCGGGGACCCCAGAGCACCCAGCTGCCGGGCCCTGGGCTTTGGCTTGTTGTCTGCCGCATCAAAACCGTTCCTATTGACGCAGGTCAATCCAAACCACTGAACAAAGCGGGCCGTGATGCCAAGAGTTAAAAATGGCGCAGTGATTTTTGGCCATACTCGAGGAAAATCAGTGTCCTGGGTTTGGAGAGTTCACATGAATGGAGCCGCAGGGAGGCCCGGATGTCTTCTACAGCATCCATGCCACTTGTCACCCCCACTGGCCCTGGTCTTTCCTCTTCTGTCACCCCAAATATCCCCACTTCTGTCCATCACGCAACAGGCTTTCAAGACTCTTCATCACCCTGTTCATCATCCCCGGAAGGTGGTTTTGTGGATATTTTAGCTCTTGTCCAATCTAAAGAATCCATACTCTCAACTCTCCATTGGCTAAATATGTATTTTGTTACTCAGTCCTATACACATACTCAATCCTGTGCTGTGCCTTATTTCAAGAAATTAGGAAGAGCTGATTGTGAGGGAAACAATGTTAGTATTGGGATAAAACAGCCCAGTCCATGGAGGCTTTAAAACAACCAGAGAGACAAAGGCCATACATACAGTGTTCCCTTACCCTTTCTTCTGACACGTTTTCTTCCCTTATCCAAAGGAGGATTCAAAAACCTGCAAATGAGGAAATGAATTTCCTCCTAAAACCTGGGTCAGGAAGACCAAGCGTCTAAGTTTTTGGCAGGATGTGTGATCCCCACCAGGCTTCTCACCGGTCTTGGCCCTCGGGACCCTTTCTCTCTCCCTTCTCAGGAGCTCAGACATGCCCCGGACGATGTTCACAAACTCCAGGGAGCGGTGGAGGCAACACAACGTCAACAGCGCCTTTGCCAAGCTGAGGAAGCTCATCCCCACTCACCCTCCAGACAAGAAGCTGAGCAAAAATGAGACGCTTCGCCTGGCAATGAGGTACATCAACTTCTTGGTCAAGGTCTTGGGGGAGCAAAGCCTGCAGCCAACGGGAGTGGCTGCACCGGGAAACATTCTGGGACTCTTCCCCCAAGGACCCCACCTGCCAGACAGGACTCTACTTGGTGACTACCAGGTCCCTTCACCTGGCCCAAGCCACCACATCCCCTAGTGTGGCTCTGACTCTCATCACTCCGGGAAACTCTTGTTTGGAAGTCACTGGCCGTCAATGACCCTGTGCATGTTGGAGAGTCAAGTGGATGACTAATTTGTGAGGCATGAATTTAAGCTTCGTAGGAGGTGGCTGAGAGACAGCAGCAAGGAGGCCATTAGAGGGTGGCTTTGGAGTCCATCACCCTCGGGGCTTCAGGCAACGTGTCCTGTTTCTGTCTGTTTTCTATATCTAAGATCTACATAAGATGTTGTTTGAAGGAAAAACAATCATAGGTTCCAAACGGGTTTGAAAATCACTGTTTCACTCAATATGATTTCAGCTATAAGGAAGAAGTTTTCTTGCAATGCATTTCAGATGAGTAGAAAATGCTGCCCTCAGAACATAGTTTAAAGTTTGTTTTGAAAAATGTAGCATGTTTGATCAAGGGTGAACAAAATAAGTTACCTCAGGTTGACGAGTGTAAAGATAGCCCTGGAAGAAAAATAAAATATCCTGGAGCCTTGTGGGAAAATCTATGGAGAAAAGACCCTCCTGCCATGTGAGGATGACAGGAACACAACAGATACCTGTGGAAGGGCCCTGCGTCCTTGATCTCCATAGAAATGTGAGGTGTTACCTGCACTGAGCCATTCCTATATGTGTTACCTCTAAAGCCAAATGGTGGGTTATATCTGTGAGAGGCAAGGACTTGATCATTTATGAATTAGAGTTTCTAATTTTCTCATGAAAAGCAGCTTAAATAGGTTACCTGAGCCCTCAGTTTCACATGTCATGTATTAATACTTCTAATTCAGCCTGAGTGCCTGCTGATTTAACACCCATAAAATTCAAATATAATTATGAAAATCCAAACATTACCATTTAACGACTCATTTAACAGAGAGCTTAGTTTAAACAAAAGATTTAGAGTAGACAATAGGACTGTAATACCAGACCCTAATGAATTAATGAATTTGTAATTTGTCTTCCCTGCTATGGAGCATTACGCTCAGTCTTACACTGGAAAACATGGTACCCACAGGTCAAGGGAACAGTGTGGATGCGGCATAACTCAGCGCCATGTGCCCCCCCACCCCCCGACAGGGCTTGGATTTGGAGATGAATTCCATAGATGAGTCTAGAATAAAAATAATGTCTTTTGATTGTCTCTGGGACATTTTATTTCCCCAAAGTTCTTGATGGTACATTGGTTTTAAAACCTTCTGAACCACCAGAAGGAAATTGATGGGTTTGCAATATGGATTCCCAGCATACACCCAATAGGGGAATTTAAATTCCAACCCCTCTAGAAAGAAGATATTTGATTTACAAAAGGTTGAAATGAGCCACTTTGGTTTGGTAGTCAGAAGAAGGTTGGATGAGGCCCCGCCAAATCTCACTTCCCCAAATAGCAAGGCCATTCTGTCATCACACGCTATACAGCATTCACACTGATAGCACACTGTGTTTATCAGAAGCAATGCATTTCCCTCTAGTTCCTTTCTTTAAACTGCATTCAGTAAACTTCCCCATGGGCCCAGAATGGTCCAGGGAAACACACAAGCACGGAGACCGTGGGATTTCCCTGCAGAGTGCATTTCTTTCCCATGAGTTTAGGTGGACTCAAGCTTGTCCCCAGACAACTGAAGCTTTGATAATAGTTGTCAATTAGCAACATTGCTTACTCTCTCAGCTGGTATGAATCAAAATCACACTATGGCAGTATTTTTGTATGAACGTCATTTGACATGTTGCCAAGGAAAGGCGCCGAGCCCCTTCCCCTGAAAGGTAGCAGGCTGCTCCTAAAAAGTTGCAAGGAGATCAAGTTATCGTTAAACTATGTGAAGGGGGTAATTGTTCAAAGAAATCCCTTTGATAAGTGAATAAACATTTAATATATTACTTCATGTAATTGACCTCTTACATGATTTCTTTTGCAAGCTTGGATTTTAGTATATCAAGTTGTGTGTTAGGTTAAAATGACTGTCAAAAGGAATTTTAGGTATATGTGGACCAAAACCTTGGCAAGGTATTCATTCATAAGATGGGAAGCTAATAAAAATGTCATGCTGTAGTCCTCCCAGGTGTCATATAGTTAAGGCTTGGTGATTGCCATAGCGAGAATCTATAGTTCAAACGTGTTGTAGCTGAGTGGTGGCACACGTCTTCGTGGATCACCTGGACCCAACAGAAGAATTTAGACAGATAACATTAGCTCTGCTACTCTGTTACTTGAAAATAAATGTTTGGCCTGCTAAGGACACCCCTGGAAACTTCTGGAAATCAAGTATAAACAAGTCCACTTATTTATATAGCTCTTTTAGATTGGCTAATTCTAACATGACAGAGGAGGAAACAGGTGCAGAGGATTTTGAAGTGGCGTTGCAGTGGTCACTTGGGCAGTTAGTAGAAACCCGGTGTCAGGTCCCCTGACCCAGCGTCCGACCTTCCTACAGCCTTGTTCGGTCACGAAATATGTTAAGATTGAAGGTGGACAAGGACCTTATGATTAGACTCATCTCTTTTCAATAATGCTCCATAATCTTCCATGCCTTTTTATTGAAACAATTATTGTACTTTGTAGAATGTGGTTAGAAGTATCAGCCAAAGATTTTATCTGTATTGTGATATTTTACCATTGATTCTAATGTACTATTTAATGAATAATTTATTGAAAATAAATTAAGAAAAGAAATTGTTCTTTTTTTTCTTTTTACGAAGAATTTCACATATTAACTAAGCATGCCATCCACCCATTCAGTTCACCCTCACAGCCAGTCTTCTGCCTTTGAATGCCCACGGCCCCCGCTGTCTTCAGTCTGGGAAAAAGTGCTGCACCCCCACACACCAGGCCCTGCGTCGCCTGACCCCAGTGTATTCCTTCCCTTCACCTTCCAGAGTCCCCTGAATGTGCTGTACGTGCTAACGAAACCAGTTCGCCTGCTGGTCCTCGGACATGCCCTACTTTGAATACCTCCGACTTTACTCTTGTGATCCCATCTGCTTGTGTGAATGTCCCCACTCTCCTTTGTTCTACTCGCCCCTCCATCTGCACCAAATTCCACCTGCCAAAATCCTTCATGAATTTTCTGAAACACTACTCCTTCAGCAAGCTTGATTCATCTTAAACATCATTTCTTACAGAAAGTCCTCCTAGATTTCCACCACTTAGTGCACCCTCGCCTTCCTTAGCATCCCTCATGTCCTTCCTTGCACTTATTTCCTCTACCCTGTGCTTCAGATACTGGGTATATTCTGTCCCCTGACCCCCAGCTCAGATCTTGACACAGTGACAGTTTTTATCTAACATTGAATCCAGAAGACAGCCCTGCAAGTGACCTCGCTTTCCAAATGATAAGAATACTCCTCTAGCCGCCAGTAAAGGGTGGCATTGATGTGAGACTTGAACAGGTTGAATTTTACTGAGAGACCCAAAGTCTAAAGCTCTCCTTAACCATTTGCTTCTCATTATATCCCTTCAGCATGGCCCTTGCAGCACCTGCCTCAGGAGGCTCATCACCTAAGAATGGCTCGAGGTGGCCACACTGTGTATCAGCTACACACAACAGGCTTTGTTCTCGAAAAGGCAAAAGATGAAAGGGGTCTGGGAGAATGGACAGCTTAACTGCTGACCCACAGGTCAAAGGGTAGTTAAAAGTCACATCCTTAAATCAAAAGGTCAAAGATAAGTAGGGAATCTGAAATCTCAGAGGCAGTGCAAAATGAGGGATTTAAAGTGGCAGGTGCTACAAAATGCTAAGGAATGAATGTAGTTAAAAGGTTACAGTGAGCTGGGCCAAAGTCTCTGAAACTGAGCATGCACTTCTGCGACTCCTGGAGTTTACTATGAACAGGCACGCTTTCCATTTTGTTCTCTTTATTGCTAAGAACCTATCACAAGGAGATTTTACTGCGCACTAGCTTTTTATATATGCCTTAGTGAGTTTTGTATCCTACCAAACAACTTATACTCTAAGAATTTAGTTTCCAGAGCTCAAGAATTCCCTGGTAGTTGAATGAAGCAAGCTGTTGAATTGCCTTTTCTGGATAATTTGGAAAAAAAAAAACAACAACCCAGGATTATTCAATATGAGCTTATACTTGTGCCTAAGTAAAAATTATCCTTCTAGGAATGTATCATAAAGAAATCATCAGAACTACTGTTGAAGAATTATGCATGTGGGTATCTATTTCAGAATTACTTACATTGTAAATACAAGTAAAATAAGATTATAATAGTAAGAGTAAGAGCCAAGATGCGCTGAGTGCTTCCTATGTGCCAGGCACTGTGCTGAGCACTTCCTGAGCATCAGCTCACGTCATCTTCATGACGGTGTGCTCTTGTTAAGACTGCATCGATCACATGTGTTGTTCTCACTTCACAGATGAGGGAACTGAAGTGTAGGAGATTATTTAACTTGCCCATGCTTCCATCAGAGTTCCTAATTCTTTCTGACCCTAACCACCTTAATGAAACCTGATGGACCAGGCATAGTCCCCAGTAACTCTATTGGGTACACAAGCACAACCCTGAAAAAAACAAAGGCTTCTGTTCCGAAGCCCTAAGCTGGAGCAAAGCCTCAATCAGACACAGCGAGTGGACCGTCCTGCCCCCACAGGCTCGAAGGGGCACCTGCTGGGGTGGCTGGTTTGTTCTGCTGTCTGGATTTGGTGGGGCGCCAGCATGAGACAGGCTTTATTTTTGTTCCCTCCCTGCCTTCAGCCGTGCTCTGCCTCATCTTTCTTCCCCACCCCATAATGGCATGTCGGGCAGAGCCCACGCCTTTCCAGTCTCTCAGGCCAATTAGAAAGCCTGTCTCATCTCCTTCTTACCTCCATCCCTGCCCTGGCTCAAGCATGACCACGGGTCAGGGCTCTGGCACTGTGATTGTGTGTGAGTGTGTGTGTGTATTTGCACACAGGGTGGGAAATCTGCTCTTCTGCAGCTCCTACCTGTCCTCCTGCTGTTTTAGTTCCTCTAAAGCTGAGGAGGAAGGAGGGTCTAGGGAAATGAACTGTTTTCTTCACTGGTATCGGGTTGCATTTTTTTCCTATATTCAGTTTAACTATTTGTATCAATTCCTTTTAACTAGTGACACGAGTCCTAGGTTTAAAACTTGGAAAGCAGAAAATTAAGCCTTTTTGCAAGAAGTGGAGCACTGTGTGTTAGGGCAGTCGGTCACTCGGGCTGTGAAAGAATTCACAAAGAGCAGAAAGTGCAGAGGGTAAAGGTTTTATTTTTGCTTTCCCAAGGGAAGGAGAGGGCTAGTGTGGAGAAATGTGCCAGCATCAGCCCTGAGGGGTTATGGCTGCGAGCTTTTACCATACTGGGTGGTGGCAGGCCAGGATGTTTCAGCTGGGTTGCAACTTGTTTTGAAGTTACCTTTTGTTGTGGGGTCCAGACTGCATCCCTATGGTCTGTTATGTCCTGTTTCATAACCTCTGTAGCTCTGAGCCTTCAGGATACTTCCAGTAATTTTCTAGTCCAGAGGATAAAGGCCCATAAAACAATGAGGGTCAGTCATGCTTTATGGGGTCCAGCCAGCTCTGGGAAAGAGGGCCTGAGAGGTGGCTTTTGTCCTATTACTATGCTGAGTATTTGGTTTCTGTTCCAGTACTCAGATCACTTAAGTGTATTTTTTGTAGCGTTCACTAAATAACTCAAGATTTAATTTTACCATATGGTCAGTGTGTGTATGTGACTGTGTACTCATAAGTGTATGTATGTGCAGATGTTCTCTTTCTACCAACTGATAATACATGTGAGAGTATGCGAATGTGTCAGGAATTGGGAAGCATACACCCCTTACCCCTCTACCACCCCTGCACCTCATACATCCCAGATAAGCACTGCATGAAGGACAGATTTCAAAAATGAGCCCTGGCCAGGTAGCTCAGTTGGTTAGGGTGTTGTCCTGATTCACCAAGGTTATAGGTTTGACTCCCAGTCAGGGCAACCAATGAATAAACAAATAAGTGGAACAACAAATCAATGCTTCTCTCTCTTTCCCTCTCTATAAATAAATAAACAAACAACTAAATACAAATTTGTAAAAAGAGAAAAAAGGGAGATTTCAAAAATGAGACAACGGTGACTGGAAGGGGACTGGATAGTCTGTTGCATGGGATGGCTGCATCTCTAAGAGAGGTTTGGGTGGAGGTTGTCATATCAGGGAAATCTATCGCATCCCCCTCACTCCCTTCAGTTTGGACCAATGAATAACTAAAGAAGGTCAAAGCTGAGGGTCAGCTGGCCTGAGATCCAGCTTCTAGGTTTCCCTTTAAGATTCTTGCCAAGGATGGGGAGGTCATCGGTCACTAGAGAAATCTACAGGGAGGAACCTGAGGCGAGGGTTGTGCCCAGGTGTCCTGGGGATGTTGCCGACCTTATCACATAGTATAGTGATATTCCAGATGGGACTGGCCCTAGAGATGTGCCCTCCTCAGTTCCTGCTAGACTGAGGGTCATCAGTGGTTTTCTGGGCAAAAATGGGATACATGTTCAGCTTTTAAGCAGTATGTTAGACTAGAGTAAAAAATGCCGTAACTTTCTCCAACTTCACTCAAGGAGGAAGGTACCCTTATGTGAAGTCCCTGTACTTGCCAGGGACTGAACACCATCTGTATTGGTTTATGCGATTCTCAGAGAACGTCTGAATGTGTCTAAATCTATGGGACTACCAGGGAGCCTCCTGTAAGCCTGAGTTACCATGGGATTGACATGTAAGGCCGGGCAGAGAAGGCTCATTTGTGTTGATACATATCCCACAGTGCCGTGCAACACAATTTCTCTCTGAGAGGAACGGAACTCCCAGCACTTCATTTGCATAATTTTCACTTTGTCAAAGAATTCTTCAGGACAGAAAACCCAGACCACCAACCAAATTATTCTGTGCTCTCCCCTCCCACTTGTTTTAACCATTGCCTACCTTCAGCAAAACTTTCTTTCACCAGAGATTTCTGCTCTTCTAGGCAGAAAATCATAGTGAAAGAAATTTAGCCTGTACTGAAAGGCAGATGTGGGTTCAGAGTCCAGCCCTGCTGCTCGCTCCCTGCCCGGTCTCCAGCTTGTCTGTTACACTCTAATAAGTCACAGTTTCCCCAAATGGAGACTGGAGCGAATACCACCATTAAACAGTTGTTCGAAGTATCAAAGGTGGCATTCATATGATGCCTGACACATCCTAGGCTCTCGATGAACACGAATAACCCTTTCTCGAAGTGCTGATACTTCCCTTCTCCAATCCCAACTTACCATATTCAGAGCTGTTTATGTCGCATGGCCAAGTAGGTGTGTTGTGACACTCACAGGGCCAAATGTTTACTAGTCCCCAGAGCTGTCTTTTCTCGGCTTTGTCTCCTGCCTTTTCACCAGTATACCCATCCTTCCCAGTTTCTGCGATGGAGCATCTTCCTTCCCGGAGCCTAGAGCCACCCAGCCTCTCAGGGAGGGACGAAGGAGGCACTGCCAGGGTGTCTGCAGATGCTCAGGGGCCCAGGGAAGAAATGGAGTCTGGGGAGGCAGGTAGGAAAATGGTTTCTACCATCTAGAAGCTGAAGTAAGCACGTGGAACACTTGTAAGTATGGGAAGGG